GAAGCAAACACAGAGAGTGCTGGAGAAACTCAGCAGGTCTGGCAGCATCTGTAGAGAGAGAAACAGAATTAATTACGTATTTTGTGCTTCTGACCATATTAGCGATGCATATGCAACGTAGATTAATATTTATATTGTCCATAGTGATGTTATCTATATTAATCGAAAACAACCATTTAGCAACAACAAAAGAAAAATAAACTTGCTGTTATTTTAAAGAAATTATCCGCTTTTGAGTATGACATGAGGCAGTCTAATTTAATTGAGTAATATTTATGTGAAAATCAATTCTATTAACATTCACATTCTCATTCGTTTTAAACTAGAGCATGTTTGTCCACTACTTTGGATGGATTTCATGGTAGACCTTTGGTCGTACATGAAGGCGGCCGTGTATCGTTTGTTCGGACAGATCTGACTGGATGTTAAGTACTGCTCGGAACTGTCCTTGTTTGAATTGCTTTGTTTGTCATTTATATAGAATATGTAAAGCACATAGGAACATACTTAATCAATGCTTTTAGCTGCGAATAATTAGATCTGGAGAAGCTCCAGTTCGTTCCTGGCTGTAATGCTTAAATGCATTCGGGCATCATTTTCGATCTCAAATCTTCTTAGTATTATGATGATTAAAGTAACAGAACATGTCCATCGAATAGCTTGTTCATCCCTCCTTAAGAACAATTTAAAAAACATTGTTTCACACTGTACAGTACTTTAATATTTGTGATCTACAATGCGGTAGACGTAAAAGCTAGTATTCCTTGAGATCTGTTCTGTACAAGACTACGACATAGTTATGTTCTGTGTATGTGGACCTTGAATCTCTTTGGACCTCCAGTATTTTTCATCGTTTAGAAAGTATCCTGTTCTACTCATTATTGACTTTAAACTCATAACCTCAACATTTTTATGTTGAAAACCATTCGCTATAGTTTTCCCCATTCATTGAATGTATTATTCGCTGTTTGTAATTTAATGCTTCTATTATAATTGGCACCTCTGATATTTGCCTCAACAACTCCATGTGGTTACAAGTTCCACAGACTAACCCCTCTGTGGGTAAGCCAGTTTCTGCCGAATTCTTAATTGAATTTATCAGTGACTATCTTATATTTATCCTATACTTTTGGCCTCTCCCACAAATGTAAACAATTTATCTATGCCCTGTTATGCCTCACTGTGGTAGCACACTAGAAATCAAGCCCCATTATTCCTGGAGTTGACACAAATCTAAAGATTTTAAAAGAATGTAGAATTCCCCAATTTAGTTCTCTTTTAGATGCAGGTTGACAGAAAGCATGGGCCAGGTTTCTGCACTTAACAAGAATTACATTTTATTACAAATAAATAGATTTTAACTACAAATAAGCAATTATGAGCCATTGATCTACACCTCTACAAATTAACACTCTAGCCTAATAATAAACTCCCCATCTATACATACAGACAGATACAAAATATATTGGTATTATGGGCAGAGAGAAAGACAGGAAGGCAGCGCAATGATCCTTTTCGTAGGACTTCCTGAGATGATCCTTCTCCTGATCAGAGCACTGCTTCTTCATCTTCCTTCTTCTGGTTTTCTCACTTGTTTGCAGGAGGCACAGGGCAACTGTTTGACACTCATTAAGGTTTCTGACTTATTATTTAAAATTCATAGCTTAGAGTAACTGGTGAGGGGAAGGAAGCTGTCTATTTTCAGGCTTGAGATGCATTTTTTTACTGCAGAGCAAAAACAACTCCTTCACTTCCTACTTCACTTCACTACACCTTGTTATCTCCTTCACTTCCAGATGTTTTATGGCTTCTATCCAAACATTCACACCTCCAACATGTTAGACTACCTGGGAGTCAATGACAAAATGTTGGCAAGCAGAAGGTATTTGTCATCAATAACTGGCTAATCTGCTACATGTTTCTGGCCAAATCTCCATTTGTCACACATTGTTGTCTCTAACTTGTCTGCAACTTGACTTTCCCCCACAATCTGAACCAACAGTTCTTCAAACAGCACTTACAATAAGTGTCAAATTACTTGCTTTTAAAATATGTAGCAATCCTTTGAAAATCCTTGGCTTTTGAACCTTCCAGTCCAAAATCAAAAATACAGAAACATAAAAAGGTATGGTCTTTACAGTCTACGTTGCATGCCTAAAATGGAAACAATTGGCGCAGGCTAAAAAAATGCTTGCGACCTATTCACGCTTATTGGTAAAAGATGACTTTGCCAATGAAGGTGAATGAAGTTTTGGGATAATGTTAAGGTTAAACGAATGGAAGTACTAGAAAGATCTGCAGTGCTTAACCTGGGTAATTTATCCAAAAACTGGTGCCAAAGAAGTAGAAAATTACAAATGTTACACTCAAGCATTGTAAGAAAAATAACCTTCGCAATCATGGCCAAGTCAGTTTAATATAGGTGAAGAGAACCTTTTGGAAAATATGCAAGAAAATTAATAGTTACTTGGACTAATAAAGTTGAGCCAGCTTGGATTTCTAAAGGACAAATTGTGCATGATTACCTTGATGGAGTTTCTTTTGATGAGGCAACAAAGAGAATTGATGAAGGTATTGCAATAAATGTTGTGTATATGGACTTCCAGAAGTTTTTTGATAAGGTACAAAATTTGGGGTATTAGCAAAATTGAAGCATGTAGGATAAAAGGCACAAGAAATGGAACAGATTATGATAAATTGTTTTTTACACACTAGATGGAGATATGTAGTTCCTTAAGTTCAGCAGTAGGATTGCTGTACTGTTAATATACAATAATGACTAGTATTGCAATAATTTTCATTTCGAATAGTATCCAATATCAAATATTGCTAATAGCATTTCACATCTTTTTCTTTTAGACATTTTGTCCCAAACTACAATTTAAAAAAAAACTGCATGACCGTCACTGCTGCTTAATTGTTGCAGAGAAATTAAGGATAGTTGCTATTCTGTTCTATACAGCTCCCAGTGGTCAGTGCATGTCAGTGCCAGATTAAATACACAACTATTACTGATTCCTTTGCTTGAAGAATTGAACTGTTTTAGTTTTGGGTAGTCCAATTTTGAGAACATCTTGACTGCATTACTTACCATTTTGTATTCAACATGGAATGAAATATTAAGTTCAGCACTTAGCACACAGAGCATGCCAATATCAAAATAAATTTGTGTGTATTTCCATTTCTCTTTTTCATAGAAAAGAGCAGCCGAAAAGTAAGTCATTCAGTCCTTCGAGTCCGTGCCAACTCTTTCAAAGAGGAAGACAAGAATCTAACTCTTTTCCTGTATCCCGGAATGTTTTTCTCCCTCACATACTCACCCAATTTTACTTTGAAGGCTATTACTGAACGTATATCATAGAATAGTTATAACATATAAGGAGGCTGTTCAGCTCAAGGTGTTTCTGCTGACTCTCTGCAACAGCAACACAGCACACCCTATTCCCCAGGCTTTTTCCATAGCCCTGCAACACTCGGTGAGATAATATTAATTCCATTTGTAAAGAACCTAATTCCATCATAAACAAATTTTGCTGGACTTTATCGAGTGTTCTGGAAAACTCAATTACAACCTGTGCATATTGACTGCAATTTTTCTGCGTTGTTAATTTTTTGTTGCACTGATGATTACACTGCTGTAGGCTTCTGTTCTAGTTGGAGATATAACCAATTCCCTAAGACAATGTGTTTGACCATAACATTGCTACAGTGGACCTCAATGAAAAAACATTTTATTTTTCACCTGTGCACTTTTAGTGTGATGACTGACATTACTAAATTAATATCTTAATATATAACCACCATTTATTTACAGAAGGGTACAATGGTGATACGTGATGTGTCTGTCTGCGGCTGGAAGGAAAGCAAAGCAACATTTAGGTTTGAAATCCTTCAACAAACTTTTGGTTCATGTGTGTGGGTTGTGGGGTGTTGTGGGGAGGGCTGGAGTGCATTCTTATTGCTGACCTATTTATC